GATGGAGTACAAATTATATGCTAAATTATCAAAATATGAAGTTTGGGTTAGGAGTATTACTTTCTTGGAGCACATTATTAGTGATGAAGACAAATCATGGACCTAGAGAAAATAATAGCAAAGTAGAATGGTCAAGACCAACCAGCGTGACTTAAGTCAAAAGTTTTATGAGACTATCTGGATATTTTGGAAGATTTTTGAAATAATTTTCATATATTTTGTTACCTTTATTCAAATGGACAATGAAATATATTAAATTTAATTGGATTGATGAATGTGAGCAAAGCTTCTTAGAATTTAAGAAATGTTAACATCCACACTTGTGCCAATAATTCCATCTAGAACTGAAGGATTTCAAATATAAAATTATGCTTCTTTAAAGAGTCTATGTTGTATCCTAATGCATAAAATGATACTTGCATATGCTCTAGACAATGAAAACAAAATGAAAGAAATGATCTAACACAAAATTTGGAATTAATCATAATTATGTTTTCTTAGAAAATTTAGAGGTATTACATCTACGAGTAAGTTAGAAATATTCACTAAATTTTAAACTTTAAAATATATTTTAAGATATAATTAATTGATTTTGAGATAAGGAAGATGGTTAGAATTGGTAAAAAACTATGATCTTGATAAACAATTTTATCTTGCAAAGGACAATGTTGTTGATGAAACATTGAGAAAAAAAATCTAATGGTCAAGCAAGTTGAATGCTAACTCAAGAAGTAGAGTTGATTAGAAATATGAAAGTTCTATAGTTAAAAATCTAAATATAAAGAGATTCAAAGACAAATAGTTTGTATCAAATGATTGTTCATTCTACTCTTGAGGAGAGAATTAGAGTTTCACAAAATTATAATAATGAATATTATAAGTTGATTGATCAAGTGCAAATGAATGAAGAAATAATATCAACATAAATAAGTAAAATATTATTGGAAGAAATTCATATTTGTAAATATTAAAAGAATCAAGGTTGATCCAAAAAAAAATTATATAATTCTCATAATTTAGGTTATTCAATTCATCACAAAATTATAAAATTCATTGAAATTTAAAATCAATATTTTGATATATTGAAGTCTATGTTAACTCTCAAAGATGAGGAAATTATGAAATTAGTTTCTATTTTGATTAAAATTTTCTAAGGTTTAATTTTTTTTTCACATTATTGTTGTAGCCATACAAGATCCATATTTTTTCACTTAAAGATGCATGCAATGAATGATATAAATTTAGTTAAGTATAAATTTTATAATAATTTTATTCTATATTTATAAGTTTAAGTGCTTTTGTTACCTTTATTCAAATGGACAATGAAATATATTAAATTTAATTGGATTGATGAATGTGAGCAAAGCTTCTTAGAATTTAAGAAATGTTAACATCCACACTTGTGCCAATAATTCCATCTAGAACTGAAGGATTTCAAATATAAAATTATGCTTCTTTAAAGAGTCTATGTTGTATCCTAATGCATAAAATGATACTTGCATATGCTCTAGACAATGAAAACAAAATGAAAGAAATGATCTAACACAAAATTTGGAATTAATCATAATTATGTTTTCTTAGAAAATTTAGAGGTATTACATCTACGAGTAAGTTAGAAATATTCACTAAATTTTAAACTTTAAAATATATTTTAAGATATAATTAATTGATTTTGAGATAAGGAAGATGGTTAGAATTGGTAAAAAACTATGATCTTGATAAACAATTTTATCTTGCAAAGGACAATGTTGTTGATGAAACATTGAGAAAAAAAATCTAATGGTCAAGCAAGTTGAATGCTAACTCAAGAAGTAGAGTTGATTAGAAATATGAAAGTTCTATAGTTAAAAATCTAAATATAAAGAGTTTCGAAGACAAATAGTTTGTATCAAATGATTGTTCATTCTACTCTTGAGGAGAGAATTAGAGTTTCACAAAATTATAATAATGAATATTATAAGTTGATTGATCAAGTGCAAATGAATGAAGAAATAATATCAACATAAATAAGTAAAATATTATTGGAAGAAATTCATATTTGTAAATATTAAAAGAATCAAGGTTGATCCAAAAAAAAATTATATAATTCTCATAATTTAGGTTATTCAATTCATCACAAAATTATAAAATTCATTGAAATTTAAAATCAATATTTTGATATATTGAAGTCTATGTTAACTCTCAAAGATGAGGAAATTATGAAATTAGTTTCTATTTTGATTAAAATTTTCTAAGGTTTAATTTTTTTTTCACATTATTGTTGTAGCCATACAAGATCCATATTTTTTCACTTAAAGATGCATGCAATGAATGATATAAATTTAGTTTAAGTATAAATTTTATAATAATTTTATTCTATATTTATAAGTTTAAGTGCTTAACTAATATAATCCTTATTTACTCTCTTTGTATTCCTTATATTCTTTTCCTATGAGCAGTAATGAGCCAAAGTTTGGGAGTAGACTAAAGGGACAATTTAGGGAGAAATAAGAAGAAGATAATAAGAGAATGGGAAGAGAATGAGAGGGAGAGGATAAAAGGAAGGAGAAAAGTGAGATAAGATAAGGAAGTATTTAATTTAAAATTTAAAATTTTTGGTATTTCTTTAGCAAATTAATTTAAAATTGAAGTCGTATGTTATTAAACTTGTATGAAAAGAAGTATTTGTAATTTTTTTACAAAAAAGGAAATTTTGGTGCATTCACTTCAAAGGGGTTAATCATCAATTATATAGGATATGCAATTTTTAATATAGATAACAAAGTTGTTGCAGTATTTTGCATCTGTTATTATATATAAATTAGATTATTAAGTGCATTTCCATACAAATTCCTCATGTTGTGCAAAACATGCGTATAGCTTACAACACTTGCAAATGCTCACACATATATTTTGATGATACAAGTTTTAAATTAATTGTATTATGATTATATGATTAAGCTATTAGTTGCTAGTCCTTTTAAATAAAGATATATAGTATATGTAAATCACATATTTTTATATATTGCTATTCAACATTTTTTAAATTGAATCACATATTCATTTAAATATCCAATGATACAAATATAAGATGCTTAAGAAATATCATATGTTAAGGGGATATGTTGACATTGATACATATATGATACCTGCATGGGTAAGGGCAAAAGATCATCGATTGAGGAAAAATGAGCTTTGATGTAATTCAACAGTGATTGTGTTCGGTTAAATCTAAGCTCTATTAAAGTTGATGATGTAACCTTCGTGTTGAATTCATATCTTATATTATGATGTGGGTATTTAACTTATTCCCGTATATTTTCCAATAAACCTAAATATTGTCATATTCAAAAGCTAAAGTAAATTATAAGACATCATAAAATAAATAAGAGAACAAAAAATTTGATACATTTAAATTAATATGCAAGTAATTGAGTCATTGATGAATATACTATACTAAGAATACTAATCTTTGAAATTATACTGCTATCCTCTTATGCAAATATTTTTGTAATTTTAAATATTATAGTAATAAACTAATAACATGTAATTAGTTTATTATTGTGCAAATTCATGGTTATCATGCATGCTATTTATTTATGTTGCTATGTCATAGCTCACAACATTATCATAAATATTACTATAGGAAAAAGTGAGAATGTGAAGCGATTAAATATAATAAATATAGTTTTGTGATCATATTGCATTGTATAGCTATTGCAAGATCGAAATTTTTTTAAGTAAGATATTAAATGAAGTTTATAATTTTCTCTAAGAATTTCAATGTGTTTTGGATGCTTTGTAGATACAATGAAATTATGTTTTGGATTGCTTTCATTCAATTTTGCTACTTGATTTTATTGGATATAAATGAATTATAGTAATTTGTTATTTTTGGTATATTTGAGGGTAAAACTTTACCTCAATCTATATTAGTTGTTCAACATCAGTGATTATCTAAGTTTACAAATATCATTCACACTGTGAATCTTAAACTCAAAAGTATATTAGATAGCAAATTATTAGCTACAAATTTAATCAAAATCTAAATGAATATTGAGCAAATTATGTAACAAGTTCTAATCATATTGATTAAAATTTGATTGAGGTCTAAAAAGAATTCAAATATAATTACATTTTAATTCTGATATTGTTTGCACAAAATAAGAATGCAATTCAAATTTTATGTTTTATTTTGCTATAATGATTATGTTTACTTTCACCTTATAATTGTATTGGTTTAAGGTATTAACTATCATAATAGTTGTATAGATATTATGCAATAATTTAATGCTTTTAATTACGATGGAGTATAATTGTTAGATTATAATTTCTTGTGTTTTTCTTTAACTTGGTTTATTGAAATCTTACTCGAATTTTATTTGAATCATGTTAGAACATTATTTGAACCCTATTCGACTGTTTGAACCTTCTTCAAAAGATATTTAAACCATACAAATCATGATCACAATTTATTTGTACCTAATTTTAGACTAAAATGGATTTTATGAATCTCTTCCATTTTGTAGATACAATCTATAGAGTTTAAAGAAAAATATTTCTCTACACCATCCGTCATTTTCTCTGTTCCTTAAAAAATATCCAATCGATTTGCTTATTCTCTTTCTTTTTTCCTCCTCCATCTAATACATTAATAATGATATTTGGTTCACATTTAGAAATAACTAATTAGAATATATTATCATGATTATATGGGCTTATGTTTGAACCATGTTTGAATTAAGGTTGCACCATGTGTTCAATCAAGGTTTAACATGTTTGGACAACTAAATAATATGTTAAAGCTTAGCATATGTTCAAACATGTTCGAATAATATTCGATCATGGTTTGAACATTATAAAAAAATATAGTTTGAATATGATTTGAGCATACATTCATACATATTTGAATATAATTCAATCATGATTCAAAGTCTAAAAAAGTTTGAAACACAAATTTTGGCACAAACTGACCAATTTATGAAGCATTCTAAAGAGATTTAAAGAATGATTCATGCCTGTTGAAGTAAACTCCACCCTCATGGTTTCTTACCCTTCTTAGCAACATAATTTCGAAGATTAAAGGGCATCAACCTGTGCATATGATGTAAAAAATTTCGACTTTTTCCAGACTTCTGCAGCGCCCTCTAGTCGTCACTGAATTCGAGAAGGAGGCAACTTCACGCGGCTGGTCCGCTTCCACGATGAACGGCGGGCCTTCCGGCTTCCGTAATCTTTCCCTTGCACGCCCAAGATTTATACGCGCTCTGTTCTATTAACCTCCCACGATGGATTTATGAATTGGATTTATGAATTCTTTCCTCTCGTATCTTACTCTTGCAGACAATGCCCCGGTCACGAGGACATTCGTAATTGCGTGCGCTCTCCTCACCGTAATTTTTGGGGTTCGCGGCCACGCTGCAAATCTGGGATTATCTTACGAGGTAAACCCTTTTTTCCCCTCATCCCTCTTACTGGACTGTCATATTTTCATGGAGTTGTTGATTGAACATGTATGGTTTACTTGTGATTGTTTTTGGTTTATCCAGTTATTAAAACTGTTATTTATTTCTTCAAAAGCTTATTCATGGAGCTTATGATAGGCAATTGATTGAGGGGTTTGGGTCAATATCAGAGTTGTCTTTATCGAGAGGAAATTGCTTGAATATGGTATCCCCAATGTAAGATATTGAAGATATCGTCTTAATGTTTCTTCCAATAGTATGAGTTCTACCTAACAATCCATAACTGATAGTTCAGCCAACGTTTTCCCCTCTAGTTAGAGCATATATTTTATTAGCTTCACTCGAGTTAGTACACTAAAAAAAATTACTTTATATGTCCGAGAGTTTGGTAAAAGCCATTTGATGCTTGTTTTGAATTGGAGATATAAAGGCATGTGTTTTCTTAGAAACTATGGAACCTTATATGAAATGATAGTCTTTTTCAATATATTAGTTTGTACATGACGATATGATTGTTGGCAATATAGATGACAACATGATTGCCAGACTGTAGAGTCAACGGATGGCACGGAAGAAAAATTATTTGTCTTAAAAGAGTTTTTAACTGGCATTATTCACACTCGTAGTGCCCCATAGATCTGTATCAACTTTAGCAATTGATCTGACAACAACAATTTATTATGCTTTTCCAATTGACTAGATTTTACTCAACAACGATGTAATATTTATAGTTTGACTTTTTCCCTTCAGTTGAGCCAACATTATTCTTGTCAACAATCTCATAAACGGTGGAGGTGTAAAGTGAGAGTTTTTATTTATCATAAGGCGAGGATAAGCCCTAATGCAAGGGGCATAAGCTCCTTTTTTTAAATAATTTAATATTTCATAAATTGTAAATGAGATAAAAAATTCAAATAAAAAGAACACAAAGTAAATTCCCAAATCCAAGGTTTATAATCTTATTGACACAGGGATAAGTCTCCAACATTGCAGCAGAAGGGAGCCAGCTTAAGGCCGGTTCAGCTCATAGTTCCTGAGAGCCTGAAGACTCTTTTTTCCTTGGATTTGCAACCCGTTTGGAGTGGGACCCACTTCCAATTATTCTCTTATTATATATTTGTATTTTTTTATTCTAGGGTTAATAATTTTCTTTGTTCTGCATCAGGACAACCACTAACGTCTCTTGGTCTCTAGGTGGTGATTATCTTTTCTATCCATTTCTGCATCCCTCTCTCTTTGCTATCACTCCTTCCTCTTCATTGTAACCATCCAGATAACTGCCCTTTTGCTGTTCTTTCTGCTATTACTCACCGTCTAGCCACCCTCTTCCCTGTTGCAGCCCTAGGATCGTCCTTTTTTGGCTATTCCATAATCCCATGCCTTACCCCGCCGCCACCATGAAACAATGGTTTCTGACTATTTTCTGCCGTTCCAACCTTGCAACGAGCTGTTTCTCTCATTCCAGCCTGCTACCTATGACTCAACTCTTCCCCTTCACTATTGATATATTCCTCCCTGTTGCTATAACTCAAGCCTATCCTTTCCAGCCGATTTGCTACTGTATGACCCCTTCTTTTTGTTGCCGCCACTCTTTCAGTCCCTCCTTTTGCTGTCCCAATTTAACCATCTGCCTCGGCTCCCCGACCACCTTGCAAACCTCCGCCTCTTATGGATTAAACCCTAGTGTGAGTTTGTGCTGTGTTTATTGTAATTTCCCCTCTCAATTGTGTTTGATTGTAACCACTTATTTGCTTTTCCTATTGTGGTTTGAGTTAACTTTAATTCAACTTATAATTTATATCCTAACTCCAAAGTTTGAATGATACAAATATATAAAATCAATAAAATAACATATAAAAAGGAAACAAGAGGAAAGATGAGTTCGCAGGGCGAGTTGTGTGACATTGAAGAAATTTAAGTCTAATGATAGAGTGTTTGACAAAACATGTGAAAATTTAGGGATAATCTTTTTGATGGAGATGAAGGTGAGTTGGGCTTAAGCTTTGATGTTTATGCAGGCTAATAGGAGAGGAATGAGTTTAATATGGCTTAACTCTTAAGTGACTAAAAAAGAGTTAGTCTTTTTATTTATAAAGTTTTCTATAATTAGATTAGAATGTTGTTTGAGTGTAAGAAAATTTTGTAATTTAAGAATTTAAATGTATATTAAGTCATATCATGAGGCTATGAACTTGTGAATGGAGTGTTAAAGGAGATTCTTGGAGTCCCAAGGAGCATATGGCTTGGAGGCTTTATTTCCTTGTAGCAAATTTTTCTCTCTCATTCATGGGGTGAGCCCCAAAAGTACTTTTTAAAAGACTAGATATCGAAGTTTGCTTCAATATTGAAATGTTTAGATTGAACAAATAACAATCATTTTTCTAGAGAGTTATCGATATATTTACGAATTAGTAGAATGACGTTCTAATATTTTTTTTATCTTATTACTTCAATAAAAAATGAGATGTTATGCTTGGTAATAATTAACTGAATCAACTTGCATCTAACCATCAATATTGAGGCAAATTATTAAGATTTTATTCATGATAATACATTGTTTGAGTGTCAAAAGGGATATCAACAAGTCTACGACTAAAAAAGACCTATTTTTTTGAATAGGATCAATAATATAATTCTATAAGAAAAGGTTCACTCCCTTCTTTATTATAAACAAATTCAATTTCAAGAAAGTTTTGGGGTATTTTAAATATTGATTGACAAATCACTCATACAAGTAGCATTTTTTCTTAGAGATGTTCTCATGGTAGCTATTAGTGAGTAGGGTGTTAACATGAACAATTATTACGATAGAACCAGCAGGAGTATGGTTGAAAAAGATACAACGAGTTGGTTTTGCTACTATGAACAAACTTTTGTATAGTTTATCAAAGTAGGTTTGTAGACTGATGTGTATCAAATGTGCATATTTTTTCTATATTATTTTTTTCTTTATTGGTGTTATTTTTAGGTTTTACATGGTATTTTAGTGTTTTATACAGTATACAGGTTTAACATGATAAAGGAATTATAGGGAGAAATGAGATTTAAAATGAAGTACTAATGTTCTGAGTTAGGTGCTTCTGCTCATCTCTAGGTGCCATGGTGCTCTCTCAGGCTTGGAAATACAAATAGCTTGGAAGTCTGGCGTTAGAGCACCTCTTTCCCATGCATGAACGTACGGAGAGGCATAAAGTTTGGTGCTAGTGTTGCGTGTTTGGCTGCCTATCCCAAGTTGGAGCCTGGAAACCTGGCATAACTACTTCGTGCTAGGGTGCTTGTTTAGGAATATGGAGTCAGAACTGTTGGAAGTTTGGTGCCAGTGCTAGGTGCCTAAGCTCCCAGTCACGCCGAATGACTATTGTGTGCAATTTTGAGCTGATTCGGGTTGCAAAAGCTTTAAAAGAACGTCATTGTGAATAGAGAAGAGATGAGACTTGGAGACGATGAGAGAAGACAAAGGGCAATGAGTGATGTAGTGCGGATAATGGAGAAACACTACTAGCGTGAGCATTATATGTTGTGTGTTTTTCTTTTCTTCCCACCGGTGGTGTTAAGTTGTAAATAGGACGCTCGGTGGAATAAGTGTGGACTGCTCTAGTTTGGTTGTTTCCCCTACTTATGTATAAACTTTGTTTTCTATTTTTAATGAAAGTTATTATGTTTCCATTTACCATTTCTCATCATTAAATTGCTTTCTCCCTTGAATTTTAATATAGGGAATTTAGATTTAATCTATGATTTTGTGAACCATACTATTTTCAATGGCATGTTGATATGTTAACCTTTTGTGCTTAATTTATTTTTGAATTGACCACTTAGAATGTTAAAATGGGTTGTGATCTAGTACTACAGAAGTAGGCTAGTCGGATAATTAGGTTAACATATATTGTTTTAGGAGAATAGGAACATTGCTATTATAATAGTACAATCAAATTGGGAAATACAAAAACATGATGGTTTTTGCATGACTTAGAGAATTAAATTGTAATATAAAATTTCAAAGCTTATAATATTGGAAGAGGCTAAAGAGTATTGCTGTTCTTGATTGTCAACAACGGTAGATTTGATTAGATGAGTCTAGATTTCTTGATTCATTTCAAAGGAGAATTCTGTCCACTGCAACAAATCCTCTCTAATGTAGATTAATTTTGTAAAACATAGGATTTAGAAACTTTATGAACTTCGAACACCTTAAACTAAGTTTAAAATTAGTAGACTAAATATTCAACTTAATTTGAAAGTTAACTCGTTTATTGTGGGATCGATACACTGACTCAAATCCATATATTATTGGAGCAACACATATACTTGTGTGGTCGACACGTGATTTACAACCTTGCAAAATCAAAATTTTAGAATCGTTGCTGGGGAACAACGCTAAGGTTTCAATTTAGGTGAATTGTAGTTGAACATTGAAAGTTTAGATTTAAAAAGTTGTAGCATTATTTTTTTTCTTTATGTTATTTTGTGTTTTTAATTATTTCTGTTGTTATATATAGTGTTGAAAAAATCTAAAATGACTTGTGATTTTCTTTTTACTTATTGAACGTTATTGTTTAAGATTGATTGTTCCTTTATGTTAATTGTACCTTTTGTTTGTGTGTTTTGTTTGTTTAGGGTCATTCACTAGTCAGTCCTAAGTGTTTATGCGTAGGATTGGACCTGCCTGAACTAGTACCGTGTGACCCTGAAATAGAAAAAAAAACTATCAAAAAGTTAGAACACTAAAAAAGTTAGGAGCAATGACAAACCCTTAGGATAAGAATGCTCACTTTAGAAAATTTATAGACTTCGCCAACCCCTTGGTAGATGGAGTGCACTAGAGCATTAGTAAACCTACAATTAGTGATAATATCTTCGAACTTAAACTTTCAATCATTCAAATGACCCAAAATTCTCAATTTGGGGGTTCATCTGTAGAAGATCCTAACCTCAACGTTATTAGTTTCTTGAAAATTTGTGCAACATTTAAGTATAAT